TAAGGTGCAGAAAGGACCGCTGGGGTTCTCTCTCCGCCTGAATATCTGTGTGTGTGTGTGTGTGTGTGTGTGTGTGTGTGTTTTAGGCTTCATGTTTTCAAGCAGCAGGTAGCAGCAGCAGCCACTAAACTACTAAATAACTGACTCCATTCTCTGCGACAGTCATCACACGGCAACAGACAAGTTTGTATTAAATTGAGCAAGATGTGTGAGGTGTGAACAGTGGAACAGTTAACACACAAGTATAGTGTGTGTGTGAGACAGATTGTATTTGTGCATGTTTGTGGCGTACGATGTGTGGTTTTCAATTGCTGCTGGTTTTCCTGATGGTTTCATTATCTAATACTGCGACCATATTATCATCCAGGATTAGTGTGGTTGGGGCTGTCCACCAGCCTGAGTCAAGACGTAGCCAAAAAATTATATTAAAACAACATAATCCCCCCTGCTAGCTCATAGTACAAAAAAATCTTTCTTTATTTCACAAGGTTAAACCTTGTGCCTATCCCCCAGGATTATCTTAATATGTGGGATAACATTGTGTTATGTCACTGGGGATGGAATGTATCCTCATGACAGTGGGCAACAAATCCTTTTAGTCAAATCAATGTGTGGCAGTGACATGGCAGATATGACAAATTCACCATACAGCTGCTGTCCAGGGCGATATTAAGGCCAAAGAGAGTCATGTAGAGGTTCAAACTGAAATTTAAAGCTGTACGTGAAATGAAATGGGTTGTTTGTAGTGATGAACCCACAGAGAGACAGAGCCTACAGTTCCTCTCAGTTCTACTGAGATTTATAACGGTTTTAAACTCTTAAAAATATAGCCTGCAACTTTAATGTTTTGGTTGGGACTCAGCCCTCACCACAACATTGTATCCAGCAGCAGCTGTTTTCAGCAAAAAAAGATCTGATGAACTCACGTTAAGCGGCCTGTTCAGCATTAAATGGCAGACAGACAAAGCTAGCGACTAGCTGGTGAACATAATGGAGCATTTAGCAGCTGAAGAGCCGGATATTTCCTTCAGGAGTTGATGAAGACCAAAACGGTGCTAAAAGGAGAGTGGACATTCATTCATCAGGTGGCCAGACACACGACTCAAATGAATGTTAATGTTGCTCCATGTCTGCCCACTGTGTAAACTTCATTTGTTTGCTAAAGCGTTCACAATATCAACTTTAATGTTGTGTCTTCAGCCTATTGCACCCAAGTGGCCCAACAATCAATTTATGCAGGTTTAAGGCAATCTAAGGAAATGTATTCAAAGATATACAGTATGTACACAATATGGCAACTGTGTGCACTCCTGTGTGATGGCCTGATACATTTGTTTATGGGGAGTGTGTGTACTTTTGGTCTGCAGCTGTCTTTTCTAGTAGCCCTCTAGTTCCAGTGAAGAGAAATCTTACTGCTAAGATGTTTTCTACGATAGTGTGCTTCCAACTTTGAAGACATGACTGGCATGAACAGAGCCCTGACCTCAACCCCATCCTCTACCTCTGAGATGCGAACCAGGATTTATCGCCCAACATCAGTGTTGGAGCTCAGTAATGCTGAATGGGAGCAAATCCCTGCAGCTAGGTTTCAAAATCTCATAGAAAGCCTTGCCTGAAGAGTGGAGGGTGTAATAGCAGTAGGATTTGGACAAATATGTTCTGCAGTCATATATCTCATTGCATTTATTGAGGACATTTTCAGCTTTTCATCCTACTTCTAGGTCCAATTTTTCCTTTGTTCAAGCCATCCGTAATTTCACTTATTACAATAATACCAGGTTCATTTGTGGAGATACATCAGTGTGGAAACCCAACAATTAGAACCCAGTTTGACTGTATCATATAAACAATGGCTGTGTCTAGCAGAGGCACCACATCCCCAGATATCAACAATGAAACAGGTGTGTGCATTCTTCTTCTTCTTATTATTATTATTACTACAACTAACAGGAATGAAGTTTACAAGAGATCACACTAACAGTATTTTTGTAATTGTGTGTCCATTACCTTATTAATTGTATTGCTGAACCATAAACATTAACAAACAAATTATTGCTGACTGTGCCAGTCTACTGTGCAGCTGTTTGTCCCCGTGTATACAAAAATGCTTTCAGCACAAATTTGTTAGTGTGATGCTTGATGGGAGAAATGAGGGGGTTCATCACTGTCACTGAAAACTCTCTTGTAAGCCCTTCCTGTATATTTGACTTGTGACACACAGTGATGCTGACACCTACTAGAGTGTTACACCTGTGATTACCAGGGACGGCATTTACGTTCTTGGGTTTTCAATCAGACCTCACGCAAGTATGTCAATAATTAAAGAATTTAATTATACCTCACCATCAAAATAAAAAAGGCTTATTATTTATTGAAAACTTTGATTCTATGGATGAAAAAAAAGGCCATAAGGATTGGACTAAATACCTAATTGTTAAGTTTAATTGCTACTGAATACTTTTTGGACACTTGTGTAGTGCATTGGCGCAGTGGAAGCTATAAATACAACACAAATATTAGCTTCTTTTAAGTTGATATGGCTACAACTTCATGTTACTTTTTAACGTCCAGCATATACAGAGCAACATGCATTTGTCAGTCATGTGTTTCCACCTGATGCATGTAAGTCCAATATTCACTCCCCTTTTAGCTCTGCTTTAGTCTTCGGGGGCTGTGGCTCAGGAGGTAGAGCGGGTTGCCCATTAATTGGAAGGTTGACGATTCAATCCCCAGCTCCTCCAGGCTGCATGTCAAAGTGGGCAATATACTGAACCCCGAATTGCCTCTGGTGGCTGTTCCGCCAGCGTATGAATGTGTGTGAATGTTTGTTTCTGTTTGAGCACTTAGGCTCAGTGTATAAATGTGAGTGAATGGTGAATGCAGATGTAGTGTAAAAGTGCTTTGAGTGGTCAAAAAGACTAGAAAGGCGCTATACGGAGCATTTACATTTCGTCAACAATTGAAGGAAATATTTGGCTCTTTAGCAGCTAAATGCTCCACTGTGTTCACCAACTATTCGCTGACTGTCTGTTGTTTGGTGCTGAGCAGGTAGTGTACAGTGGACACTCATGAGAGCTGCGATGAGAGACGCTAAAATGCTCTGTGTAGAGCTGAGCATCTATCTGAATTTAAATGGTTTTATTTCCCTTCTTTGAAGTTCCCAGAAGGTAATTTCATGTTGCACAATTGCATAAACTTGATTTTAAGCAAGGGTGAAAAATTCCAACTACAGTTAAATGTTGTCTTGTCTGACTTAGTGAATCCCCCAACGTGGTCAACAATCTTGGAATCGTACATCTTGAAATTACCTTCTTAAATTTTAAGGATTGTAATCAAATCACATACATACATTCATTGTTTTAAAGAGGTGGTATTATGCTTTTGGCTTTTCCCCTCTCCTTTATTGAGTTATAGAACTGGGTTTGCAAAGTGAAAAATCCCAAAGTCCACCTCAAAGGGAGTTCCCATCTCCCACAGAAAACTCTGCTCTGAACATCTCGTTTATAGTCCAGCCTTTACTTGCCTTTCTTGTGATGTCACAAGAAAATATGTGTCATAATGCTCGCCGTGCGACTAGTCCGACACGCCCTCAAAAACACCGGTGGAAAAACACTGAGCTGCAGCACACCTCTCTTCTCCCTTCTAAACACTAGCTGCCCTCCAGGCAATCAGAGGACATGAAGTTGTTACTGTGATGTAGAGACAGAGCTCGGTTAAAACTTTATGGATGAAAGATACTTTTGTTACAGATTAATAACTCACCACTCTGAAACTCTTGCTCGAGTCCAAATTGCCAAGCTGGTCGGCAACATATAGCCTACAGCTGAACCGAAGCTGTTTACCATCTTTTGGCTGACCTGCCTTTCTCTGCTTCTGATTGGCTAGTAGTCCTTAACTAGGAACTGCGCAACAAAGATCATTTAGAGACAAGACATATCACTCCATAGCTACAACAAAGCCTTCAACATACAGAAATAAAATGAGGAGCTGCAGAAATGTGCAGTATGACAAAAAAATATGGTGTTTTTTGAAAATTAAACCATGTAAACCTGTTCTGGTGCAACCCTTAAATAGGATTTTAAACCTGAAAATGAGCATAATACCACCTCTTTAAAAGGAAAATTTAGCAAGCTACAATACTGATTGACAGATCTTTGTGTTTTACAAGAGATAAAACAGACACTACTGCAGTGGAAATATATGATTACTTTTTGGTTATATTTTGGCTGGTGTAATCAACTTCACTATGGAAGCGCTTGTGATCCTCAGAATACTGGACATCTGACCCTCTCCACCTAGAGGGTTAGAGATCAGACTCAATAGCAGCCCTGCAGCTCATAAGGATTCAGAGTCTTACAGAAGGACACTTCAGCAGAGTGGAGGCCGGTCGATTGGCCTCCTACTCATGCCATGTGGCGGTGCCCCCCAAAACAGTACTCCAAGAAAACCATTTAATCCTCCAAGTCAAATTTTTAAACCAGGAAATATAAAAAATATGTTGTATTGTGTCTACAGGTTAATAGTTGTAACAGTTTTAGAGCTGCTTAATCAGTGAGGTCTGGTTTCTTTATTGCTGTAATCAAAAAGTCCTAACAAAGATTTTAAGCTGCAAAAAGCAACTCTGCATAGACATCACTCTGAAATGTAAGTTTACGGCTGTCTAATAATTGTTCATCCACAGTGACAGGTGAGGTGAAGGCAATGATGAAGAGACAGGCAACTTGTGTTGACAGAGGTGCGTGCTGCAAAGAGTTCTTGCTTACTGTTGTTCAAGAGACAGATTTGTATTTTCTCCTAAATTTCAACTCAAACTGCCTGCGCTCCAAAAGGATTTTCAGCCAGTGACCATACAAAGCACCTGAAAGTAATTTGTGCAGTGCAGCGTTGGGAAGATCCCAACCATCAGCAGTTATGTGATCAAAAAAATCTTGCCTTGTGCGTCTTCTACATCTTTCAGAGTCGGCTAAGTGTGCCATTTGTGTGCTCATCTTGTGTCTTACCGAGTTGCCTTTGTTCTGCATGATGCTGTGGTCCTGCTGCTCCGGTGTGATCGGGGAGGACTTCAGAGGGGGGGAGAGGGTGAGGTCTCGCCGTAGAGGCCGTGAATCCATCTTTTCCCCCGGTCTGTCCAGCTTGTGCACTGAGTCTTTACCCCCTTCCCTCCCCTCTTTGCCCTCCCTTCCTTCCCTCCCCTCCCTCCCATCGCGGTTCTTATGCCTCTGTCGTTGCACGGTGTGCGAGTGCCCCTCTCCGTGAGCATGACTGTGCCCGTGCCTCTCCTCCACGTGCCCATGGGGCTTGTGGGTAGTGGAGTCTCTGGGCTGTAAAGGCTTCATCTCCATCTCATAATTGCTAATTTTCTCCTCATCCTGCTCCAGCAGCCGACCACCCCTGCCGTGCGCGCCCCTGTGCCCGGACTTCCAAGAGGCAGACGAGGATGACTCTGTCCACCTGTCCCCTCTGGCCTGTCTGTGATTGGATGATCCGTGCTCCCGGGACTTGTGATTCGATGAGCCGTGTTTGTGTCCATTGGTCCGGCTCGCTCCTCGTCCACTGACTCCAGCTCCTACTTTTGACAGCATCCCTATCCTCTTGTCCTCGCTCCAGCTGTTGGCCCGTGGGTACTCCCCCTTCCGTCCTCCTCCGCCTTCACCTCCCCCGCTTCCTCCCTCCATCAACACCTGGATCTCAGTCTGCCCTCCTCCCCCACCTTTCTCACCCCTTTCTCCTCCATCCTTCCCCCTATCCCCGTGGTCTACGGCGGTCTGCCGGTGGAAGCGGGCACTCTTGCTGCGCTGGGACGGCCGGGCGGGGGGAGGCGGCGTGTGGGGCGGTGAGGAGGAAGGAGGACTGAGGTCAGGGGTGGCAGCTTCGTTAGAAGGTTCATCAGAGCCTGTGCTCTTTACATAGAGGTCGGGGCTGTCTGCAGTGCCGGCGCTACTCGACAGCCCCTCTCCCTCCACCTCGCTGGACACCTGACGTTTGGGACGCTGCACCTCCATGCCTGCAAAAGACAGATGACATTCGAAGGATGGTGAGGTGAGGGAGCTATGACGCTGTCTCCATGCTTGTTGACATTACACAGTCATCGCTGCTTACAACTTTAAAACTTAGTATCAGCACGGCATTGCAAATACATTACCCCGATATCTCAAAATGAACATAACGAAATGGTGAATATTTCAGCTACTCTCTGTTTTTGAATGCAGCTGCTACACTAACAGTTATTACAGCTGCAGAGTAAAACAAATACCAGGTCAGTGGATGCTGATGGACTGGAGTATTTTACCCTCATCCAATAAATTAAAACATATATAAATTAGACCTAATTTAAGGGCTAATTTTTGTATCAGTACGGACTGAATTTGAATAATTTAGAACTGAATCTGAATTGCTCAGCTTGAATAATTGCATTAAAAAACACAGAGGTCCAGTGTAAAATAAATATAGGAATACTGCTCTTCTGCTGCATTCGTGTAGACTGGCAATGCATTATAAACAACAGTCTCACTTACATATAAATGAGCTTTTGGTTCGTCACAACACCATTTACAGCTAAAGTCAAATGCTCTGTGTAATTAATTTTCCCTCTGTACTTGATAAAAATTATTTGTTGCAATTGTTTTGCACTATTTGTAGCCACTAATTGTAGCTCTGCTAGAATGTTATGAATTGGCTAACTGAGCAAGAGACATGTATGGAACTTGGGAAAAAAATGGTAGGAAATGGTAAAAAACAAAGGTGCTGATTGGCCAAAAAGGCGCTCTGTGCATCTGCACTCGTTTGCACGAGTCGACCTTGACCTGCCTGTGACCTTAAAACTGAATCTTGTGGAGTGAAATAGAATTTAGAGAACTGAATTTGAATTGAGAGAACTGAAAGTGAAAGTACATAAAGACTTGAATTTTTAGTGAGGCTTAAATACAGTTTCAGTTCATATTCACAATATCACATTCAGTTTCAAGTTTATTGGAATTCAGTTTCAAAATAATAAATTCAAAGCTGAGCAATTCAAATTCAGTTCTAAATTATTGAAATTCAGTCTGTACTGATACAAAAAGCTAATTATGTTGTAGACTGATGTGTACTACTCATCAATTACATGATGCCTGAGTTTCATGGTCTTCTAGACAGATGTTCCAAAGAGTGCAGTGATGCAAAAATGAAAAGCTATCTTTGTGATGTAAGCATTTTTTTACAATAAATCTCACTATGGAAGAATGAATCTGGGATGAGAAAATGTTTCCCGCTCTTCCAAAAAATTCAAGCTACTCTCCCTTCTCTGAACACCTTCTCCCCTCTAATAATTTTTGTACAATGCTAGACTTTTCATGTAGGAAGGGTACGTGATGATGTCAGCACTGATACATGCTAGATGTCCTCACAATAACATGGAGTGTGCTGTTTTTAAGCTGTGTGAGAAAAGGACAGCTGGTGAAAGCAGAATAGATGGCAAAAGACCAGTCACTGTCAACTCAGGTATCTGTGTGTGGGAGCGTACAGTACGTGTCATGAAGGCAGTGTGCGTGCGTGTCACTATGTTGAGTAGTTCATGTTCTTCTGGGTTGGCTACCTGCAGTGCTGTACAGGTGTGAGTGACAGAGGCAGAAACGCAAAGCTGGAGGGTGGTTTACACTGACCTTTAGCACCAACCCACACATACAAACGTATATGTTTTTTTTTTGTTCACGCACTTGTACACACACGTGTTGTTGCGTATGTGTCTGCTTGGCTGAGTTTGTAGATTATGGACATGTGCATATGGGTATCCAGTACATTGTGTGCATGTGTTCATGTTGTGGTTGTTGGTTGATGCGTGTGCCCACCATTTCCTGGGTGCTGGAAGACGGGGAGAACTGCTTGGCGGTGACCCTCGCCATGCGACTCTCCTCCTGGGCTTTCTGAGCTGCTCCTACCGCTGCCTCCGCTTTACCCTGTGCATGAGCCGTCCTGACATACAAAAGACAGGGAACAGAACGCATACAGTACAATAAATAAATCAAACTTTAACTTTAAACATTGTGAAATGGGTCAGAAATAGAGACAACCATCGGCAGTGGGATCCAAAACTAATTAAGAAAAATGTACAGCAGGTTGAGATAAATAATTCTAATTCAAAAGAACAGAACAGAAAAACATTGTCCAAAAATACTGTAGGTAAAAAAACACAGTAACTGACCTTTGAAACAATAAAAGTGCCAACAGTGCACCACAGTATTTCACTTTTGTACTGATACAGGGGTATTTGTGCTTGAGCCCTGGTTTATTCAGTACAAACCAAGAGAACACAACCAGTTCACCTCCATCATTTGTTTTGGATTCTGGTGTTTGTTGGCCAAAGGGGTGATGGGAAACCTTGCAATGTGGACCCAATCATTTGATGGTTGGAAGAAAAGGTCAGGTAACTGTTGTGGTTTGGGGTCTGAGTGTGGTGATTTCCAGTTTTATTTTGATAAATCCTTCCTCATGTGTCTTTGTGTACTTCACTTCCTGTCTCTGTGTTTGCTTGTATCTGCTCTTCCACCTGTATCTTTTTCTGCACCTCTTTCATGTGTGTATATATTGTCAGTGTGTTTCCTTGTCATTTGTTGGCCCGCCTTTGTCATTTTGTCAAATGTCCCAGCCCTCGTCGTGTTTCTTGTGTTTTCGGACCCTTTTGCCTGCTTTCTGTTGAATTTTAGATTATTGCCGTATCATTTTGGATTGGTTTGCTTTATTGCCTGCTTCCTGTGTTTTCATCTTGTCATGTCTCACAATCCCGCAAGCTTATTTACCATTAAAACCTTTGAACTGAACCTGCTTTGGGTCGGGGTCTAATCCCTTGTTTTGCTGTGTCTACGCTTGGCTAAAGTATGACAGTAACTGTATGCAAATTAAGGAATCTATTTGTTGTCACAATTATCCCAAAGGGCTTTTGTTGACCTTGATGGAACCCATGTAAAAAGAAGTTGGTAATCAAACAACTCAACACACTAAGCAGGCTGCATTTGACAGCTTTTCTTTTTCCCTCCATTTCCACCATCTGTCCACACTAAGCGACATTTTTCTCACCCGCAAAAACAGAACTTTTTGAAAACGGTCTCCACCGTGGAGGAATCTTAAAACGCTGGCATTGTTTTCAAGTGTGGATGAGGAATATGGGGCTTTTGGGAAAGCCTGATCTGGGACTATCCGTACCACTCAGCTTAGTGTGGATGTCGCTTAATAATCAGACTCAGTTGCCATTTTGTTTCACTTAATTCATTCAGCCTGTCATCATGTTCATGTTATGCCTGGGGCACACTAGGATCTTTAAAACGTGGGATACACCCAAGATTGTCGGAAGAGACGAATTGGACGATATCGTCCCAAATGATCCTGTAGTATGAGGGGCTTATAGACATAATCTTAAGGTTGCCGACTGGGTCGGAGGCATCCTGATTTTCCGATACAAAATCAGGGTGACACCAATCAGAAGTCTTGCGTGTGGATTGTTAAGATTATTTTTTTTAATATAAAAACTCTGTTAATTCTGTACTTGTGGTATCCCACGTTTTTAAAATCAATTAAGATTTGAAAATCCTCTAGTGTGCACCAGGTATAACCAACAAGTGACATATCCATCCCACTGACATCACTGTCTGCTGACACAGACACTGGGGTAGTTACGAACGTTTGTCATACCAATCAAAAGTAGCTAGCTGTGTAGAGAGCTCGACTTCCCCTTCTTAATTGCAACTGCTAAGATCAGATTGTTTTTTCCAAACAGCCATCAACATTTCCAGCTTCATTTCAGTGTATAACACTTTGGAGACAACGTTGTACGTTAACTACTGTTTGCAGGCCCTAGTAATAAAAAATAACTCCTTTTTTCCTGTAAATATGGTCATTTAAATAATCAACATATAATCACATCACTATTGTGCCCATATACAGCATTTATTCTTGGGTATCATTATTAAAAGAAAATGCAGCATACACCGCCTCATTCATTTCTGAGTTATCTGTTCTATTGAGTCTTGTTATGGCTGGCGAACCTCATTATAAATGACACCTGAGCCAGAGGAAGAGAAACCATGACCGGCATGTAAGCATCAGCACATTACATGACGCCTCACATAGTAGCTATGGGAAGACAGTTATTACAGAGCTACAGTATGATGAGTTATGTACTCATCTGTTTACAGGCACTGTAATATTTTGCTTAAATGTGTTAATTATCACAAAATAATTAATCTCACTGCCGCTGCCTGATGGGCTTTTCACATCTCCTTCATCTCTCTAACTATTCCTTTACAGCCTCCTTTCCATATCTCCCTCGCTCTTTCTTTTATTTCTGCCCATGTTCCTTTCTGCCTCTTACTAATTGCTCCTTCCTTCTTTATCTCAACCCCCTTTTCATCTCCCTCTTGTCCCACCCTCTCTTTCTTTCTCTCTGGTTATATCAAATAGATCTTTATGTCTCAATTACAACCCTCCTCTCACCTCTATCTCTCTCTTTCCATTCGCCTATCTTTCTCCGTCTTTTGAAGAGCTCTCGACTCATGTAAAATAACCTCTCTCCATCCCTCCTTCTCTCCCTGCCTGCCTTTTCTCTTTCTGGGCAGTAACAGTCTTGATGCAGTGTTGCATGTCGATGGCTATTGATTTTTTCTGTTTCTCTATGCCCCTCTCTGCAATCTCTGGCAGCACCACTATGCCAGGCCCACAGTATACTCAACACCACCCTGTGTGTGAGTGCGTGCCTGTTGGCTGTGGGGGGAGGTGAGGTGTAAGGAGAGAGAAGAAGACTGTCTTACTGTTTCACGTGACAAAATCACATGTACATATCTGGACAGAAGTCTCATATTCACAAGGTTTAAATGCCATGAATAACCTGCTTCCCGTGCAAACACACTCTTGCTAATCTGGCACAACCTGCTCTCACCTTGATGCTCACACCACGGCATGAAAGACTCCTTTCATTTCTCTCCCTCCCTAACTCTCTCTCTTTCCTCCTTTCCTCCACAACTTCCTGTCCCACTCCGGTCTTCCCCGGGAACAACCTGTTTCTGGATGAATCAACTGCCTGGAGAGAAAAAAAAGCTGCCTGCTCAATGGTGGCTTCATTATACAACACAACATCCTGTCCAAAAAGAAAAAAAGAGTTGCAGATGGAGGGCAAGGAGAGAGAGAGGAGGAGAGATGGAGCGAGGTGGGGAGCAGAGAGGGGGTGGAGTGTGTGACAAAGACGATGTAGAGAAGGTTTAATGGAGATGGGCAAGGGGAGAGACTGAAAAGAAAGAAAGAAGATGGGAGTTAAGAAGGTGTTGCATATAAACGTCAATGAATCATTACTGGATTAATTAATAAACACTACTCTGTTTTTGTTTAAAAACGGAGTTTTAACATGAATATGATCTCCATCCACACGAGCATTTTAGCTGCATATCAGAGTTGATCGCCGTCTACATTAAAACAACTAAAAGAATATCAAATAAATTGCTTTTGCACTGTCTGATTTATTTGTTAACATCCTAACTTTGATTGGATGTAAAACTTATTGCATCAAATGCAACTGATGAAAAATGTGTTGTTATCGTTAATGGCTGTCACCTCTCCCGGCCCCCCTTCACACACACTGTTTGATTTAATTCATTTGAATCACAAATTAATTAGCACTTAATTTATCTCTTAAGATATCGATTTGTTGAGGAAAAGGGACTGAAAACATATTTTACTTAATTAAACTAGTGCATTTTTGTTGAAAATACATTTTATCATAATAGTTTTTAATGTTCCACCTCAGATTTGTGAAGTGATCCACTGTTTGGCATCAAGTGTTTGTTCTAACCATAAAGACATTTTTGGCCATATTGCATAGGTCTTCGTTTTCGCCATTTTAGTCTGGATGGGAGGTGCAAAAGGTCTCCGTTTTCAACCTGAAAACGCAGTAGTGTGGATGGGGCCTGAGAAAAAAAAAAGAAGGTGTAGGGGGGGACAAGCCACAATGTCTTCTTTATGACAGGATGGGACAGGGTTTATGTAAAATGGTTTTACTGTAATTTTGAGAACCACTAGCACGGAAAATACCACTGGCATTGGACAGGGCTGCCCATTGTCTCTCTGCTCTGGCACACAGTTACCATGTATCAACTTTCAGTTGTATGTTACAGTGATGATATGACCATATTGTGTTATTAATTCCAAGCAAATTGTAATAAAAAAATAACAAAATAAGCTAATTGAAGGTTTAGTTATACATTTAAAAAGTGGTTTAATGTAAAGCATAACAGTGGAACACAGTTTAGTGAATTTTAATTTGCTTGATCGATTAGTCAGATCAAATGAGTTTAATTTGATTGTCATGTGTGACAAATGTTTCCTGTACATATGACAATTAAAAAAAAGTATAGCTTCTTGGCTCTCCCTCAATGGATGTTCCAATCCTGCAAAGGGGATTTTTCTAATGTAACCTGTAGTCACATACTATAATGTAGTTAGCTAATGATATGACCCTTTGTTCTAATAGGAATGCTAGGTTACCACTTGTTGAGAGTAAGTTTGTCAGGCATGCTAACATTTCCACCTAGTCAGTTTTCGTTAGAGCAGATAAAGAAACTGTTACATTAATTGCTTATAATTTGACTTTTGTGTTTATGGTCTTGGCAAAGCTAAAAACTAAAGACACAACCCTCTTAAGCTCTTTGTACGTACTTACTACAACCCCATGCACACCACTTTCACACACACCAAAGTTTGACAGTTCGGTTGCTCAGCTATGATTGGACAATCACTGTTCAGAGGAGGAGTTCAGAGTAAATTATCACATACACTTTGACAAAGGTACAATGATGTTTAAAATGCTACACGTGGCACCTTTAAGTGGACACCAAGGCCAAAAGGACGAGAGAGATAGAGGACAGTGCATAACAGAACCAAAACAAACACGCAATGGAAGAGATGGAAGACAAACACAAACACTGAGGTGA